TTACCACTTGCGTTAAGTTAAATTGCTACGGATGAAATCCGTTAATTTGAAGTGAGTTTTTCGTTTGAAGTGCAAACAAAAAGGGAAAGGGAATTTACTGCTTTCTCTAAGATAATTTTTAGACAAAACAGTAATACATTTCATAAAGCAGTGGCTTCGAAAATTAATTTAATGTCATTTCCCCCATAAATTGCTTTAACAAGTTTAAAATGTTAAGAAATATTTTGGAAAATAGGGAAATTGGATCTCAATGAAAAGTTCGTTAAATAGAAAATTCACTTCGCTATATGGAAGTTATTTTACAAAAAAATTTCCAAAATGCTCTTGGTTCCTCGAAAAAATTCGTAAAATAGGGAAATTCGTAGAATGGAAGTTCGTTAAATAGATGTCCGACTGTATTTGTATGGCTAAAAAATTCATAAAGAGCATTAAAAAATAACCAAAATTAAGTGTTCCTTCACTGGGCAATTTTGTGTTCCTTCACTGGTAAGAGCTGTTCCTTCACTGGGTCTTCTTACTACTTGTTATTTGAACCTCCAAAACTTTAAAACAATATTATGTAAGTTCTCTGCAATTTTTTTACACAATTTGCAATTAGTAACAAATATATTGACACTGTCATTTAACTAAAATTGCGAATTTTGAAATTAATATGATTTTTTAAGAGGCAAGCGAAGCTTAAGTGTTCCTTCACTGGTTAGTTTACCCTACTTATGTTTCATTTCCTTTTTAAGAAAATTTAAAACTACTTTTTCATCTCAAATTTTATTTTTTCTTCTAAATTTCACTTGAAGTATTGTTAAAATTAAACAGCATTTTGAAACTTATCATAAGCTGTGATGAATATAATATAATATTTTAAATAAAATGGAATATTAATTGACTTATTATTGAAAAATAACTCCTTTTAAAGAAATTTTGAAACTACTTTTTCATCTCCAATTTTCTTTTTTCTTCTACATTTCACTAAAAGTATTACTAAAATTAAACAGCGTTTCGAAACTCTTCATTAGCTGTGATGAACATAACATAATATTTTAAATAAAATGGAATATTGTTTTAAAAATTGGCATAATTATTTAAAATAATAAAATTCTGTATAAATTTACAATTTCGAAAAATTAAACATTTGTAATTCCCTGGAGCATCAATACTTGCTATAAATTCAGCACACTATATAACTAATCATGACATACATATTTAAGTTAAAAATTGGGTCTCGGTCCCCACATCTTTTTTACAGAAACTAAGCCCTTGCCAATGTTACCCAAATTTCCCAAATCAAACAGATGTCAAGAGCATTTTACTTTAAACAATTTCATTATAAATAAAAATAAAACAATTTATGTTTATATAAAAAAAAAAAAAAACAGAGGGATTTAAAAGGTGTACTTTTTATCCTAAATGTCATTTCTTACAAAATTATAATTATTTTTATAAAATTGAATCAAATTTCTTTCATATAATATAAAACAATTACTTCAGCAATTTTTTCCCCTCTCATCAGTTCAAGCATATGTGAAACATAAAATACAATTCTTACATATGCTTGATTACAAATGTTTTATTCAAAACTGCACACAAAAGTTTTTAAAGAAAAAAGGCATTTAATTTTTAATATGCTGGGTGTTTCACTTATAGAGAAAAAGACTTAAACTGTGACACATGATGCACTTCAGTCAGTTTTTATATACCGTAAAGCTTCTGTTTCTTTTTAGTTCTTATTGACTTTATTTTGCATATCTTAGATAATTGTTTAATCATAACTTTCCAGATCGAAAACGATGAGTAAAAATAAAGTTTACACAAAAATTCATTATACATATAGTCTTCCAGTTACATGGCGCATTTGAATTTACCTGTCTAAAAATTGGCTTAGGATATGGCAAAGGTTGCCAGCCTTACTTTAAAGGGGGAAATAACACATATATACAAGTAATTTTTGCAGTAGAACAATAAAAACAGCGATTGCTATAGATCAATTAAGAAAAACAGGCTTCTAAGAAATAGTACTGAGCAATATCAGTGAAAATTTCAACAACAAAAAATGTTAGAATGCAGATAAAAAAAGTAATATGTTTGAATTGCTCTATCTCAAGAACCAATTTATTTCAAATTTTAGCTTTCAACATTAAAAAATTATGTTGTAAAAATACCATTAAATCTGACTTATATCAGGTATGATATGATTTTGCTAAATTTTTTGTCAAATGTAATCATTATTTGCTTTTTCAATTACCTGCTATGCAGAAAAAAAAGTGTTTGTTAAGTCTTGATTTATTGTAGGCCAAAGTTTGTATGTGAATGTGATACCTTACATGTTAATGAATTACATACTTCCTTGACAGTGGACTTATTAAGATAATAGCAATAGATAAGCATAGAAAACTTACACAACTGCTGTATCAGTGAAGTTAAAAATAGATGTGTCAGTAAAACTATTGCAAAGAATAATTGAGTGAACTGTGTGAGTGTGGAAAGTAGCTTCTGCAAATTTTTGTGCTAAGAAACCTCCAAGAGAAGCACCAAACAAATGAACCTATAAAATATGCAGGTTTTAGAATTACTATTATACTTCATTCATATTTTTTATGTGTGAAAACAAATAAATACCAATAATAAAAACAGGATATTAATAATATTTTTTTAAAAAAAAAGATATCAAAACTTACATGCAAGTTTAATTACCATATACTAATGACTAATTTATCATATATGTTAAACTTAAGAAATAGAAAATGCTTAAGAGGTTAGGCCATTTTAAGATTTTATAAAAATCATCTGGCTTTTTCTTCTCTCTAAAGGCATCTTAATACCTTAAATTTATAAGCCAAAGTTTCATTCTTTTTATTAACATGTAAAATATCGAAGTATAGGAACTTGGAATTGCTTTCAATCCTTTCACAATCCACTGTATGAATCCTGTAAACTTCTAAAGTGTATGTCCTCAAGCTAATTTTATTTAATGGTTGGACTTAAACTAGAAGAAATATTCACTAATATTATAATTGTTCATTTAAAACAATTGTTTAGTTACATTAGTAAAATAATTATTGCATTCGAATTCATATTTTTTTTAACTATGAACAAATTTCTGGTAATGTAATTTAAGAATTTATTTAAGAAAAATAAAATTATTTTTGGAAAAATTGGTATAAAATAAAATATGTACTTCTGAAGATATATTGGAATATATTCTGAAAAAAATTACATTTCAAGTTTATTTATAATTCATGATTTAAATCATGCCAGCCGTGCCTCAAAGTCTAGGCAAAAATAAATCAAGAGGAATATGAATACCTCATATTTTAACTTCAAAATAAACCACCTATTACACTTCATGAAAAGAGACAAATGAAAATATTGAACCCATTGGAAAAAAACTAACAATAGTAATTAGTGCATGCACAAGACTTGTATTTATACAAAAAAATACAATGCGCATCTCTATTATGCAAAGTAACCAATATTTTTCACTATCTTTTTTTATCATAGATTACGCCAAAGACCTAATAAAAGAATAGATGGTTCAGTCACTCTTTCTCTATTTATTAGGAATTCAAAATACTTCAAATTATTGAGCAGTAACATCAAAAGAAATAAATGGTAAGAATAATTTCTGCCACAGATTAGCTAACCATTAACTCATTGACAATGGATAATATTTGTTTTGAAAGCACAAAATTGTTTTAATTTTGTAATTCTGCAATATCATACGGTGACATGACGCATCATTAAATTTCCATCATTATTCAACTGTAGCACATTCAACTGTGTTGGGATCGGCTTTTCACCAGAAAATTAATTCTTAAAAGCATTGATAGCTCAATTAAAGATATAAAAACTAGTTTACTTTCATTTTGTGATTTAAAATTTATTGTACATATACACTGGTTTTTGGAACCACTTTCTTGGAATTTAAAAAAAAAAATGTATGACACAAATTTTAGTTGATATTTTCGAATGAATAGCTCACTTCGGATATTTTAATAGGTAAAAATTACATTGCGGCGGTCACTATACATGAAGCTTATCTTCTGGACTGGAGTGTACACCTTTTTCTATGGTGGTTACAACATCTAACTACAATGCCAGAGGTCCTTGGATCGAACCCTGCTGAAAGCCAACAAACATCTCTCACATACTCTCTCTACGTTGGCAACTACGGATGCTCGAACACACAATGCAGCAGTCTCACTATTCGAAAAATGGCACCCTTGCTTTACACTACATCCCTTTGTTCCACGGTTTGTCTGGATCCAACAAACAAATCATCTGGATCCACAACGTCAAAGCCTGAACTGCATTGAAATGGCGACTTCAGTCAATGTCACACGGCCTCTCAGTCTCGTGAAATGTTCACGACTGCCAACAACTCTGACTTCTCAATCACTGGAGGGGATATGTGGAGCAGCCACTATACATAAAGCTTCCTAACTCATACAGATCTGGTATACACACCCTTTTCTATGGTGGCTAGACTCTGAATCCTTACTGCAGCCAACAAACATCTCTTTTGCTCCCTTCTTCACAAAATTAACTTTGTGGAACTTTGCAAATTGGTTGAGACGATAGATGGGCTGCAGTAATGTAGGATATTAAAGAGCACAGACTGTATTAATTAGTATTAAAATACATAATTGTTAACTTCTCAGGGTTTAAATTAATTGAAAATTTGAACTATTTGTTGAAATATTTTAAAATAAAATACTTTGTCCAATCCAAGATGATCAAGTAGTTTGCTAAATCCATTTGTAAATTCATTCATAGTCCAGTAAACAGGATACTGCACCTGTATATAGAATTGTTGTGAATAATTTTTTATAGCATATTCACTATATTTGTCAAACTATTTTATTAAAGTATAAATTAAAAGTTATATTTATATTTAATAATTCATAATTGCTGCTTATAATAATTTTAATTAGGAAAAAATAATACAAAGATTGTAGCACAATTAAAGCTAATAAAATTGATAAAACAAATGGAACAGTTAACTAAATCTGTGAATAGCTAAAAATAAATTAATAAACAAAAAATTAAATTTTTTAACAAAATAATTTAACATGCATTTAAAAAAAATTTGTGAACATAATGGAATATCAAAAGTTTAAGGCTTAGTTAATAGACAAAGGATTTTTACTTCTAAAAAAAAAAAGATTTAAATTGTTTTGTTAAATTGCTTTGCTAAATAGATTTTCATAAACAAGACCTTAAGGAGCATGTATATTTTAACAGCAATTAGTAATTTGCCAAAAAATCAAAATTTGTGATGAATAACTGATAAATTATTCAACAATGTATTGTACCGAATTTTGTTCCCTTGAATGAAGTAATTAATGTAGCATAAATTAAAAAATTTTCAGTTAATTTGCTTATTTAGTCGCATTGTGCATATATGGTAAATTTTTTTTGCTTTTATGTTAATTCAAAATATTTAAATTTTTTCCAAAAACTGCACAAATTTTGTTCTTTTTTCATGCAAAAATCTTGAACACTACTTATGATCAATGCAAAACTTTGATAAGACATTAATTATTTAAAACAAAAAAATTTCATCAATTAATTGTTAAGTACTTACCGCAATCACTCTGTATCCTTTAGCACACAATGATATTATCTGGTTGAAAAATATATCTGCTGTACCACTTACTGGAGGTAAACATATTAGAGGACAAGTAATACTACGTGGGCCAAAATCATATATTGTCCATACTTTATTGGAATCTTCATCAACAATAATCTGGAGAAAAAAAAGGCTGCATTTAAAAAAAAAAATTATAAAATACAGAATAGCCAAAGCTGGGCATAAGAATGTTTCAGAAGTGGGTATGGAAAATTTTTTATAAGAGGGTCATAGAAGAAAAATTTTAGCTTTTGGGGCATTTGTTTTGGATGAATTTAAATTTTATAACAACTGATAATACTTAGTTTTTATAACAATTGATAAATGATAATATAACAATTGATCCTCAATGCAATAAAAAAGTAATGTTTTACAATTTTTTTTAAAAAATCAAAGCTTTGCATACTTTGTCTTCTTAAATCAAATCAATTACAGCAGGTTAACTTTCTCTTTGCAGATATTAATGTTCTTTTTTTTTGTAACTAGAGAAAAAAATCTGTTATAATAACAATTCAAAATAGTGGATGAAATTGTTGCTACAGGCAAATACACATAGGGGAAGGGAGCTAGAGCAGACTTTTTATTTTACTCAGATTTCCTCAGTCAGATAACCTAGATTTGTAACATTGAAGTACACTTCCATTGTATAATCAGAAATCAGACAGTGAATAATTTAGGAGAAATTTGTGAAAGAACGTTACAAAAGTAACTCTCTCTCTCTTTACTCTTTAACATATTTTATTTTCAGAATTTAAACAAAAGGTAACAATATGTTATGAATTATACAGTTTTTTTTTATCTACTTTGTTTTTAAGTTTTGCTTTGTGTACTTTCAAACAATCAGCATTAAGCATAAACAACACAACAAACAAACACATATTTTCGTGGGGCTAGCGTAGACACATCTTGGTGGGGCAAGCATAGACACATGTTAGTCGGGCTAGTGTAGACATAGCTACACTGACATAATTCAATTTCCAATGGAAGAGATAAGAATTGGTTTTGCATGAAGTACATTTAATGCTATTTATTCTCCAAATTAGAATGATTTCGTAGAATATACCTTAACAAGCATAACAGAATTTCCAATGGAAGAGATAAGAATTGGTTATGCATGAAGTACATTTAATGCTATTTATTCTCCAAATTAGAATGATTTCATAGAATATACCTTAACATTTAGTGATTTTAATATCAAGTAAAAAATTTAACAGCATCCTCAAGGACCATCTCTACCACATCCCGTTTGATAAGGTAATTGTATAGATCTTTGCAGAATGGTGTTCCTAGTGTTAATCCCAGAATCTCTTATACCTTTTTTGAGGGCAATGTTAAATAAGATGCTGCATGATAGAGAATCTCCTTGTCTGAGACCTCTCTCAGTATAGAAAACTTCTGATGTATCAGACATAAACTTAATTCGACATTTAACACTTCACAGAGTCATTTTAACCAGATTAGTAGGTTTCAGTGGAATTCCAAATTCACACATCCCCTCGAAAAGTTTATTCCTATTGATACAGCTGCTTCAAAAAAAAACAGCCTCACATGTAAAAAAACAATTCTGTTTCACCAAGATTATGACCCTTGTTACAAATTGATAGAAACGATGGTTAAATTAAATGAATTACGGTTTGAAATGCTTCCTTATTCAACTTGTTCTACAGATTTGATCCCAAGTGGCTTCTGACTTTTTGCAGACCTCAAAAAGATGCTATAGGGAAAAATATTTGGCACAAATAAACAAGCCATTAATAAAACTGATGCCTAATTTTGAGAGAAAAGACAAATTGTTCTACAAAAAAGACATTGAAAAGTTAGAGATGCATTGGAATGAATGTATCTTGAAGGAAAGTATCTTAATAAATAAAGCCAAATTTCCAAAAAAAAAATTCTTAGCTAAACCGGATGTTTATTGAGTGATGTACTATCTAACACAAGATTTAATATAATGCAAAGCTTCATGTTTCAAGGTTTCTGTTTTAAGATCTGCTGTATAAACTACTTGAATCTTCAATTTTAATAAAACATTTATTTTGAACATGTTTTCTTTAAGAAAAAAAAATTTTTTTTAATAAAACTGAAATTATGAAAGAATTGAATATATTGGGTATTACACGAGTTCAGCTTTTTGAAAATGTAAAGAAAAAATCATTTGTGAAAATCATTTCTGCGAAAACTTGGTGCTTTTTAAACACTTTAAATGCATTTTGCTAATAAGCTATGAATTTTTCAAGTAAGAAACTTACTTTTTTCTGAGGAACTCTGCTTCTAAAGCTTATGTACTCAGCAGAGTTAGATATTGTTGATAATTTTGAATCAATGAATTCCATGTTGTTTACCACTTTTATTCAAAGTAGTTTTTCGTTAGAAGCAGAGAAACACCTAAGTAAATGATAAAAAATTCTTTTATTTAATCACCATTTAAAAGTTAAAAGCAAAAATGCATTATTTCAAGAAAATTTAAGTTCAATAACAGCAAAACAAAATGATATAAAATCCAATAGAAGAAGACTATATGACTAATAACAGGTAATGAGCAATGCAAAATTTTTAAAAAATTCCACAGAAGCTTTATTATAATACAAAGTAGTTAAAAAGTTCAAAAATTTTAAAAGCAATTTGAGGTATTCTGATGTAGTTTATGACAAGCTTAATGTATGTTTGTCATCAATGGCTATCATGTGGCTAAAACAAATAGCCAAACTCTGCATAACCCAGTTGAAGAGGGTCATATTTGCAGAAGAGGTCATTAGGCTAACCTAATGACTTTTTGAAGTGCAGTGTGTGAGTTCAAACATGGTTTCAGAGTCATACACTTTGTCTTAAATATAACATACAAAAACAGACATGATTGTTGATATCAGAAGAAAAGGGTGGCCAAGCAATAGAGGCATAGCTAGGGCTTACAATGTCAGAGGACAAACTGAAATTTGCATCTCCTTGCAATATTCTGCAGTCTTACAGGAGCCTTTAAAAATCATTTCAAGTTTTAGATTATGTAAAAAAACGAATACAATAAATAAATTTTGAATAAGATTTTGCAACTTTAAATAATGTTTGAACATAGAAACAACCTTCATTCGATTCAGTTTAAAATTGACAGTATATGTTACTAATGTAGTTTCTATTACATTTAAAGGTTATTGATTGCATTTACTGTTTATGAGTGAATGATAAGCGTTTATTCTAAAGGCATTTTTTATCTAGTATATCAGTTAATTTATTAAAGATAATTTTAAAAAATAATAAATAAATATAAAAATAGACAAAGCACACTACAATGATAATAGACATCCAGTTCAATTTTTAGGCAAACCGAATTAAAATTTGAGGAAGTAGTGAAACCTGTCATTAGCAAGTGAAACTGTGGGTCTTTAAAAAGGAAAAAAGAATTTACTTAGGAATTTAATTTAATATATTTTTATGAAATTATTGCCCCTCTAATGGTGAACCTAGGAACAGATGTTTTCTCTTGCCCCTAGCTATGCCACTACTAGGCTATCAATATAGATTCTAAGTAACACTCACTATATTTCAAATTTATACCCAAAAATTAACAACAATTGTGTGCAAATGCAATGGGCCGGAATAGTCAATTGTTCTAAAGTTAAAAGGTTTTTTTTCTTCAGATAAACCAATTAATTATCAAACTGAAATATTGATAAATAAAACTATGTGGCGTAACTACCACTATAAATATTAAATACCAATTCACTAGTATATAAGACATGTTAACTTGACTCTATCATGAGGTAGGTACCTTTTGATAGATGAAGGTTGACATAGTCAATTTATAATTCCCCTCAACTACTATAAAATATCCATTTGATGAGGCATTTGGGGTTGGATGCAGAACCATCTGGAGCGAAATGTCAAGTTATCATGTAAATAATATCTTAAAAAAAGCTATTGAATTCATAATTTACCAGTACAGGAAACAGTTTCCAATGCTGATTTCAAGGTATAAACAAATACCAACATGGAAATAATCATAGATTATTAATTCATAATTGAATACAACAACAAAATACTGGGAACATTTTCTTATCAGTACTTGTTCTTTGTCACCTGCCATCAGCAAGGCATCAAAGTATTTTTGTAATAACAAAAAGTTTTAAAAACAAATTTTTAAAGAAGGAGGTTTGACTAGGGGTGGCTACAAATTATACTCTTCAAGTTTGTTAATGTATATTCATTACTATTTCTTCTTAATTTCTTGTATTGCCACTACCCATTTATCATCAAAATTTGAGGATATTAGGGAGGACAGGCATTAATGCTTCACATCTAGAAGAAACTAAACCACTTTTTATGCTTATCCCAAGTTTTCTAATTTAAAAGAATAATCTATAAAAATCGCTAAAAAAATAACAAACTGAAATGAAAATAATTTATTTCCTTTCAGTAATTGGAAGAGACTTCAAGTAAAATAACCAGTAATCGTTCTCTATTCATAGACTAAGAAAAGGGGGAAAAGCAAGTTTGGCTAATACATAATTTTAGAAAATAAATTAAAGATTTGAACTTCTTTTATGAATACAAATCTAAACAAGACCATCCAATTGATAAATGTGCAGATAAAATACAACTCAATTCTTTAAACTAAGTTTTAAAAAATACAACAAATGAGATAAAAGAAAAATATAAAATAATTAATGTACAACACAGCAAACATAGAGCAAAAATCATTTAAGAATTATAAAAAGTGTTACTTAAAAACCAGTATATATGATTTAATATCACAAGATTCGTCTTCTTTCAGCCTAATAAATGAACCATGTTTACTAAGTGTAAATACTAATAAATCATGTATAATAAATAATATTTAAAATGATTAACGACTATTTAATATCAACCAATATGATACAATCAATATATATCAATCAATAACATTAGTCGTCTGAATAAAGGCCATTCCCACAGAAAGAAACAGTTTAAGAAAGAAACTCTTTGACAGGTTTTAAAAAAAAGTAAATCGGTGAAAAAAATCTATCGAAAATACTTAAAAACATAAAGAGATTGTGTAATAAAACTAACTTAATAATAAAAAAAATATATTAGTGCTCTAAATGCTTTTCAAAACGTAATTATTAATACCTGTCATGTCACAAAATATAAAGTTATAATAAAAGTCTAAATTTTTATGTGTGATGGCTGGAAACAGGAACAAGAAAGTCATGCATTTTTCTGTTTTTGTTTATCTTTTCTTTTACGGTTATGACATAAATTAAATTATTAAATTTTTTTGCAGATATATTAATTCACATTTAGAGTATGGAACACGTAACCACTTGCTGTAAAAACGCATAATTTTCCAAAGATTCTAAAGTAAGAAATATATATTAACTTTCATAATTCATTTAAAGTCTCTGGCTTTGTTGCCTGACTTTTACACCTGTTTGGGTGGCTGTAATTATCATCGTTTTCATCACTATTGCTAAATCGATGTTTTTGGTTTATAGCATTTGGCATTTCTATCCCCTACTGGCGAACAAAAAAAATCCACGAATTAGTTGAATATAATGTTTGACTCATTTGTCCCTTTTGGCTCATTACTTGCTTAATTTGAAGTCCCCTTGAAGATCTCTTGTTTGTACCATTTTCCTCAGTTCTATGTCTTTCACCTAACAATTTGCTGGTAAAAGCGATTCGAATAGGATGCGCTTAATGCTGAGATTAAATTAGATTTCTGATTTCAAAGCTAATTTTTACCCAGATATTTTATGAATATATTAGACAGACATAATTTTTTCTATCACAAATTTATTGTTTCGTGTAATAAATCAATTAAATAAATTAGTCTCTTGCATAACTTATTTTGAAATAAAAACCTGAATTTTTTTTTTTTGGGGGGGGGGGGATATAAATATACTTGAGGGTGCCCCTTGACGAAATTGGCGACTTATGTTTGGAGCCATTCCTGTTTGCGTGGAACACCGTGGGAACAGGAATATCTGCCAAAACATAATGTAATTTCAATAAAACACTGGAAAATTTCAACAAAACATCGGCCAAAGCTTTATAAAACTGCAATGAACCCAATATAAGCAAAATTAATAAACCCAATAAAATGCATTTCGAATCGAAACAAAAATTAATGGACGGAAAGAAAAGGGAAAAAAAACAACTCACTTCTTCATTAAGTTTGAATATCCTCAGGTTTAGGTGCACAGAATTTTCTAATGGCAGTTAGATACTGTTTAAATTTATCATGAATAGAATAGACATTTATCATATGTACCTCCATCGCCACATAAATTCGGCGAAATACGAATCGAAAAAGGTGTCTGTGGTACCGGACTGGTGGTGATAATTTTTTCTAAAGTCGCTTTTTATGACTGCCCACATACCTTCGATCTTATTGACCAGAAGCAAAAGTAACCTTACCAGCCGGTATCCAACGTAGAACTAACGAACCTCTGAAATTCCTCACTAGCGATTTCCCTATTAACTATAGTAACCATAATTATTTTATTGCTTTCTACGCTGATGAGACAGCGATTGCCATGAGATCATTAAAACCTGATCAGGCAGTTAAAAATATTAACGAACAAATACCACCAATTGAACAATGGTGTCGCAACAATAAAATAGCGATTAATACTGATAAGTCTCGACTAATGATTATTAGGCGGAAAAAAGGGCACAAAAAAATAAACAGTGACGTTATCCTTTTTAATGATAAAATCCCAATTACTAATAAGGTCGCCTAGGCGTAACCTTTAATGATAAACTCACGTCGAGCCTCCACGTACAAAATATTATAAATAAATCCTATGCAGCATACAACTGCCTCAAACCTATTCTGAATGCTAATTCATCCCTCCCGATAAACCTAAAACGCTTGCTATATTTACAATGCCTAAGGCCTATCCTTACTAATGCATGCCCCGCCTGGGGTAATATAATTAACAATACCCAGATAAAAAAAACTTGAAATAGTCCTAAACAAAATATTGAGACTCATCACTGGTGCGCCTCGCTATCTACCAAATATTAACATTAAAAATGACTTAAAATAGACCCAATCATGAATTTTATAAACAGATCAAATGCTAGTTTTTATAGCAAATCAAAAAACAAAGACCCAGGGGTTCTTTGTCTTTTGATTTGCTACAAAGTTTGTTTTTTGATTTGCCCACAAAGACCCACCCTGATAAATAAAGAACTAATTGTGGATATGAAGAACCGCAACCCCATAACTGCATTCCTGCTCTCAGATTGCATACTATCAAAATATTTCAAATAGTGGCCCCCCTTTTTACATATATGGATGCTCGCAGAGAGGGGTAATGACCAGAAGGGTGATCCCCGACTCGCGAGCATGCCACCCCTAGCTTATACCTAACTTTTATACTGCCACTTTCTTCACATCGTAACTTTGTTTTTTCCCCACATCTGCCATATCATCAGTACATAACTCCCCTGAAGGGATTGTGTACATCCCCACTACATTTTAGGTCCTTTCACTATTAGTTTAAACTGATTTGTGACTACCACTTCTGTGTTTTCGCTCGACACTCTACCCATCTTTCCATTGTCAACATTACAGGCGCCCACGGGCTCAAGCCAACACCTCCTAGAAAAGAGTAGGCCTCTGCACGGGTTACCATAAATATCCTTTAGTAGTCCAAACGTAATGACATACGCCGTATTTTCAACCACTACGCAGCTTAGTACCCCGAACGTAATGAAATCTTTCTTATTTTTCATCAACTGCGCAGTTAACTTCGTCACATCGGACTACTAAATTGATCCGTGCTGAGGCCTTCATACTTCTAGGAGGTGTTGCTCAAGCTCATATGAAGGAGTCAACTGTCCGCTTCGCGGACAGGCACTCCATAAGAAACACCAGTTCAAGTTTCTGAAATTGCATATACCATTGAACATTTAAAACTAACGCTGAAATCTAAACCAATCAGAATCACGATTGGGTTTCAACATCGCCCAGTTTGGCGATCAACCGCAATCACAACTTGGCGAGAATCAAGGGGCACCCTCAAATATAGTCTACCCTTTTTCTGTTCCAAATTTTTGCATATTCTTGGCCATATGTGTTTAGTATAATTATTGTCTTATTTTTATAAATTTTTATTTTACCTGCCTTGTAATATTTTCAAAATATTAGGAGAAAAAAAATGCTTCATCGTCAAAAAAAGAAAAAAAAAATGATTTTTAATAAATTCTTGCGGGTTTTTCTTTAAAAAAAATAGTGAGTTATAAAGGAGATTGATACATTAATAATAAATAAGATTACTATAATGACATATAAAGCATAAATAATAATAACTATAATTTGTACACATATTTTTCATCCACTGTACAGTTTTCTGTAAGAAATTTGAAAGAACGGAAGCTTTTACAACGTAAAAGTTTCTTAAATTATTATAAGGTTGTTTATAACTTTACATTCATAAGAAACATATTTTCATTTATTTTGTTTATTTTTCTTTTTTGTTGACCTAGCGAATTATGCCTATGCGAAAATTACAAATGAAAAATAACAAGACAAAAAGATATTTTTACTTTCATATCTATAAAACCAAAATAAAATTGATTACTTGACTTTTCAAATAAATATATATATATATTTGATATTTTAGGAACATTCTTAAGATTAACACTCAAAAATTTTAAATATTTCTAAATATACTCTGTTTCATTAATAAATTATTATTGTACTAGCATTTTTTTGGTATTATTTAAATAATATTTCAGATTATCCTGATTGATGCAATTAATTCTAATTCAAAAAGTATTTTAGAAACTTATCGATCGAACATGTGAAAAAAAAATTTCTTTCTAATGACTTTTTCATAATTTTTTTACATACACAATGGTAAATGATAAAGACAAAAAATAAATCCAGCATTAAGTATAAAATTAATTGAGAATATTTTGTAATTAAAACTTTGTTTAATTAAAGGTATTAGAAACACTTGTATCGAGTTAATTTTCAAACACGAATTGGTAACATTAAAAAAATCAGGAATAACCCTTATGGCTAAAATGACAAGATTGCTGAAATTTTATAACCCAACAATCTAACATGAAATCCTTACATGACAAATAAAGTGCAACTACTTGGCACCCTTGTCTCCTGAGTTGATTTCAGTGTAAAAGGCTAATAAAAGACAAAAAATTAATTGTAGAGAATATATTACCAAATCTAGTTCATAACAATAAGCCGGTGAAATTTACCGACCAATAAGCGCGTGAAATTTACAACATCAGCTGTTAGTACAGTCTATTATAAAAGTTTAATATGCAATTTACTTTTTAGCCTTAAGTAGTTTTGCCAATTTCTGTTTTCAATTGTAGACTCTTAGTATTGCCTTAGTTGCATGGGTGGTTATATGCAAAACATAACATGGCAAGTTTACAATGTTTTGTTAATGCTTACATTTAAAGCGAATTGAACAACTTAAGATTTACTGAGTGACCTATGCACAGTAAGATTTTACATAAGGTAACATATTTAAAGCAATTTATTATAATGAATGCAACTAAATTTCACTGGTGATTTTTTTTATTTTTTTTAAAGTACAAAAAAGATGATAAAGTTATTGAAGCAACATAAACTGAAATATGTTTAGAAAAATGTATAATGCAATAAACAACTCCAATTTATTTAACAATGGTTTTATTTAAAAAAAAAGGTCGTGACATAATGACTAGTTATACAGCTGTACAGCTTTATCACAACAATTTTGTTCAGAAAAAAGCACCTTTGCTCAATACTACAGACAAAAGTAACACTTACAAAAATTTCACAAGACATACAGCAATATATAAATAGAAGACAAAAATGTATCCCATGACTGAATTCAATAATGGATATACAAAGAGTACAAAATTTCTACAAACATTTATATTATATCAAAGAATAATACACAACGTATTAGAAATTATGAATATATCAACACTTATTTGTAAATAGTTAATACATAAATACTTTTTTTCTTAATTTGAACTGGTAGACAGAATTGAGAAACCATTAATCAGAGAAATGTAAAATTTTTGATAAGTTATGAAAATTAAAATATTTTTACTCTGATAGTTATTATTCATTATTACAATACATTTTTTACCATTAAAAAGTTATCAAAGAAACTTTTTAATGCATTTAAGGAATATGGATCCGTCGATGAATTCAATTATTATGTTAGTTCATATTGAATAATTATTAAACTATAATAACTTAAACATCCACATTCACAGATTTTAAACTTACAGCTCCAAATCATCATAAAATAATATTGCTATTAATCATACTTTTTAAAAATTACATTAATACATATATTTAGTAGTTTTATTTTCTGAACAATTGGGTTTTTTGAAGAACAACTGGAAAAATATAGAACTTTGCCTTTGAATAAATATATAAATGTATATACATCCATAAAGGCATTATATTAAGTTCATATCCAAAAGCATTCATAAATATGAATGTTTTGATTTCCCATCTAATTATTTAAAATTTAAAAAAAGTAACCAAGGTAGTAAAAGTAATGAATAAACTTAAAAACTTGATTAGATATTCATCATCTGAGAACTAGCAAACAAAATTAATAATACCTTAATCTAAAAATGCACTAAAAAAATTTAATAAATATATTTTTTAAGAATTTCTGTTATAGAAAGACAACAAGTAAACAACATTAAAATGAACAATGCTAAAAAAAATTGCACTGGAAGAAAATTGACTAATGTGTTTTTCAAGAATTTCCGTTGCAGAAAGACTACTTAATATACCACTTTTAAATGAATGGTATGATGAGATAATTGATATTTGAATCTATTGCAATTTAGAACTTCATTACTTAAAGACATAAAATTTTAGAAAAATGTAGATCACCAGTTCAAATTTGTAATAAAGATCATTTTTATTTAAAGCTAATAAGACTATCAATTGAAAATGCATTATATACACTTATTTTCTCATCACAAATTATTGTTATCATACTAAATTTCTTTTATTAAAATTTTTTATAAGGAACTGCTTAATTATAAACTGCAATTAAACAGATATAACTGAAGATAATTCTTAAAGATACATTTTACTTGCAGCCCTATCTTAAAACACAAAAACTTTGTTGGCAACATTACTTCATTTCAGGTGAGTACTAAAAATGCAAGTAATCCACATCATAAATTAACAAAGCCATTTTTTAGTATAAAGAGGTTTCAGAGGGATATTGCTGAATTTATTCTTCAAACCAGCTGAGCAATGTGCTTAGGAATAAGCGAAAAATTCATTAAACTAGAAATAATTGGAATTACAAACAACTTTTTTTTAAATGTATTTTTGAGCATTTTCAGAAGTTACATAAATCTAAAAATTAGTTTTTAAGAGTTATATAAGTCTACTTACATATTCAAAACATTTCATTAAAAACAATTAACACACTAAATTTCAAACAATGCTATTTTTCAGATACATCTGAATTGGCTAATGTTATATTGCACACACACATATTAGAAGATCAAAGATACTAAAAAAGAAAAGAAAAAAAAATACTAGTCTATGAACACACAATCTGAAGTAAATACTTACATTTTTGGATTGCACTTAATTTAGAGAAATGATTTGTGGACTGACATTTAAAACGATGTCAAATGGACGAGCTTTATATGATTATCAAAGTGCAATAAATGCACAAAGTTATTACGCAGGTACAATTGTGCTGAGATGAACAGGCACTGTAACAATATAGAATTTCAGTTGAATTTAATTAAAAAAATTATGGCTGTACTGTTGCAGCGACAGTATAAAAAGATAATTCACAGCCCATCATATTTTTTGATATTTGAACTTGAAACTTTCATTTGAAAATGCGGCAAAAAATGATTTTTTAGAATAGAGGTGCACAGCCTGAGGTATAAGGATCAAATGTGACCCTTGAAGGGTTTCTATGCGACTCCAGCCTTTTATGACAAAAAAATTTATACATATATATTTTTTTTTACTTATCAAGTAAATCTAAACAAAATGTCTAAAAAATTAGCAACATTTAAAAATTTTCTTTAATGACAAAAAAGATTTCATTTATACACATTCAAATATATTAAAATTGCTTCCCCATAAAGAAATGTTAATTTTATTTATTTATTTACATTATCATGTTTTATACATATTATGAGGATGTTTAATTTAAATAGAATAATACATTTAAAAACTTTGGAAATTGTTTTTATAGGAATAATTAAATTACTTTTAACTTACAAGGTTGTGTCCCTTAAAAGCGTGAACCCACACGCTCACTTCGTAAGGTTGTGCATCACTATACTTCAAACAATGACTTAGTATGAGGTATGTTTAATCCAAACACGAAATGATAGTTTTTCATCAAACAAAAAGCTTGCATAAAGAACTTAAGTTAATATACCTAAATTTTAATTACATTTCTTGATATGATTGGGCAACATCGATGTTTCTTCAATTAATATCTATATTAGGTTGTACACAACATACTAAATTTTGACTTTTCGTAACTATTTACAATCTACATTTTTAGCACCACATATAGAAATAAAATTAATAAAACAAGTTTAAAAAAACACATAAATAAATTTGATTTCTGTACAGAGTTTGCATTTCATGTTTAAGATTAATTAGGTAACAGAAAAAAATAATCTCAACTAGCAATTTTGAACATAGTTAAAGTATATTGTTATTGGAGTAAAGGCTTTTAATTACCTTTTTCTTAACATAGAATGATTTAGATTCACAATCATAAAAGAAAAGATGAAAACATATATAAATAAAATTATATACAAAAATAAAAAGATTTTTCAACCTTATTAAATGTAAACACATAGTATAACAAAATATAAAAACTATTATCTGGAAAAAGAGATATTTATATAGAGAAATGCACATAAATACACCAATTTGGCAAGAAAGTAAATGTACAAAAATATGACACCATTCATAAAAAAAAAGATAACACTTGAAATTTTCAAAATAATTATAAAAATCATTCCTTATTATTGTGAATATATGAATCCTTTAGTACAAAACTGAATTTCATGAGACGCACAAAACAATTACTTTAAAAAAAATTTTAACTGTTAATTTTATATATATATATATAGATACACAGGTATAGGACAAAATAATAGGAACACCGGTGCATAGCAGTACTATGTACAGATGTTCCTATTATTTTGTCCTATACCTGTATATATATATACCAACAGAAAATAATTTGTTGAGGTCAATTTAACCATTTTTTTTGTTTGAGAGGAATAAAAATTATTTAGCTATTTTCGAAATTAGCTAAAAAAATTTGTTTCTTATAATCATATAACTGGAATAAAAATTTCTTCCTTTTTTTCATTCACTTGAATTAGAAATTCACTCACATTATAACTAATGTAAAAAAATTAAAAGCAGTAAGTTTTCAACATAGAAAAATATTTTTAAAAAATACACAATGCATTGGATATTTACAATTGTTAAATACCAATGTAACAATGTCCACCAATGCTAAACATTTAACAAGCAACAAATCCTAACAAAACATCTACCAAAAAACAAAATAAATACAGTCAGTAAAATAGTAATAATACTAATGAAAATCGAAAATCAATTCTTAGTATATACTAAGTGAATTAAAATTTATAATTATTACAGAAAGTTTGAATAAGATGGCATTTTGATTAGATTTCATTAAACAGTATTAATCCCGGTAAAAAAATTGTACATTCAAGTAAAATTCCAAACTCAAAGTATGTGAAATAAGCAGAATATTAATTCAAATAATGAATATTGATGAGTTTGTAATAAAATCTTGAGGTCCAAGGTGAGTAGTTTATGATTCAATTTAGAGTGTAACAAGCACTATTTTTTTTTTTCTCTTTGAAACAAATAATTTAAAAATTAAAGTTCATTCTGATTCAGAATCATCATCATTAAAGCCAGAAAGATCCACATCTTCTAACAAGCCACGGCACAGGGCATATTCTAACAATGCTAAATGACAGAAGACATACTGGTCTGGCATTTGGATACTGTAAGCCCTTTGAGATCGAATTTTTTCAACAGTTTTAACAATATCAATGTATCCTGTTGCTTCAAGTCGGTTAATACTGATGTCTAATGTTATGAAAGTACCTGTAAAAAAACAAAGTAGTTCAGGAAAATTGCTCATTATGCTAGCAAACTATAGCATATATATATATAGACCTATATTATCTTTTAAAAATAATTAAGTTGATTACTATCTATATTTGAATAACCATAATGAACAAGACTTACTGTATTAACTGGCAAGTCGGAAATGAGTGAGAATGACCAGCATGCCAGATTTCCTAGATTTGAATAATCTAGTTCATATACATAACCTCTATATACGTAAAGGAAGTGCAAGCAAGGAAGTGAATATGATAAGGAACTCTTTCCTCAAATCCACATTATTGCAAACGTCTAATAGAAAAGCAAGACTCTTTAATGCTGGAGAACATCTCCCAACTGAGGGGAAAACACAAAGACGTGCAAGGTGTGCAAAAAACAAAAAAGAGGTATGCTAAAAAGCATGCACCATGCAATAATTTCTTCAAACTTTATCACACCCTCAAAAAATTCAAACTTTAGATACAACCCTCTCTTCTTCAATTTCAATATTTTTCCCCATGAGATATACTTCCAGGAGATTTTGCTCTTATTTTATAAGTATTCTAAAAATAGGTACATAAACAAAGGACCTGCTTTTAATTTACGAGTTAAAATTATGGACCCAAGAACTATTATTGTTCTTATTAATAGGATGGGATACAAGTAATGGGGAGAAGACAAGAGTCGTCTAGTAGCAGGTGTAAGTTTGCAATCAACAAAATGCAACAAAGGAACATTTGCTATTCCAGCACTATTGACTCAAGAATTTCGACCAGGACATACCCTGTCATGTCATTCAGGTGCTCTGGGTTTAGGTGGGGCATATGTGGTCCCCATCCATGAAGCTTGTAAAATCCTTGTTATTGAAGAGTTATTATGTGATTGTTTATGCATCTCTTAGATCTCCAGACATTCAGACAGAAAAGTTAATCGCAATACTCACTTGTAACTTGAAAGGCAACTGGGTCCCATGGTTTAATTATATTCAATAGTATTGCTGAATTTAATAACTTTTCTTTTTAAAATTTTATTCAAGTCATTTTAAAGGTTGAAGAAGGGACGGTTAAACATTAAAAAAAAAAAATGACACTTTTTTATGAATGACATTCAAAACTGCTAATTTGATAAACAATTCAGCAATACTACTAAATACAGATACTTCATTTTTATTTAAAATACAGGTTTGAAAAATTGCACAAGACTAAAAGTATAACTAAGTTAAATTGTCACTTACTAAAGAAGTTATGAGTATTTAATTACTACAACTAATAAAATTAAAGATGAACAAGTCTCTGTAAATAATGTTTTTACTGAAAATCTTTTTTTGGCATAATGCGAAAGGTGTCCTTACCAGTACGCCCGATCCCAGCACTGCAGTGTACCACAATGGGTGGCCCCAAAGGATGTCCCTGCCAATGCACACCAATTAAACGAACAGCTTCATCTTGTTTCATTCGAACTTTATCTCTGAAGTCCAACATAGCTAATGCAGAAGGAGGTACTCCATAATCAGGCCAACTCGTAAACTGCATGTGCGCAACTTCTTGTGAAGTATTTTGCTAAGGAATGATTAAAAAAAAATAAGTGAAATTTGTTACAGTAAATCAATACTAAAATAAACCATCATTTATACAATGAAGAAATAACAGTGAATTTTAAAAGTTATTTGAATGCACAAATTGCCTGCAGTAATCTTATATTATTGACTCAATTATCAATAACAAAATCTACCACTAAAAAAAATCTAAAACTTGAAAGGGTTCTTTCTTCAATATTACATGATGCATTGGAATTAAAAATAATATGTAGTAAGTTTAGGTATAAATACTCCATAAATAACATTGTTCATAACAATGAAAAGTTGTGTGCTTACAGAATAATTTTTTGATTTACATTAAAAACAATATCACAAAGAATTAAACGTTAATGAGCAGAAAAAGTGTACATAGAAAAGGCTCGGGAGCAAACAGACTCTGTTCCAGAGTAAAACAGTCGGTAATGGAGGTTGGTCGTTCTTAGAGGTTATTTCCTCTGACTTCAAAATGTTATCAAAGGTACATGATATTTTGTAAGTGATTTTAATTTTACTTAATGTAATTTTCTTGGTGCAGAAATGCCACTTGTGTTGGTGCAGTGAAAACTAGATCGATGCATAAAATTTAGCCTCAATAAAAATTATTCCTTTTGACATAATTATGTGTAAAAACAAATTTACCAATTATAAATGATAGAACTATAAATAAATTAACAATTATGCTTTTTTGCTGAAGCTTGCACTTAAGTTCATATCATAATTAGTTTACTTTAAAAAATGAGAGGTCTGTTTGTTTAAGATGTTTAGTTTAGATGTTTAGTGTAAAGTAACTTTTTTTCGAATTTAGCTTCTCTAAAACTAAATAATTGATAGCATCGTCAAAGAGAGCTCTCTAAATAAGAGCCAGTCACAAGTATTTCTAATACATTAGAATCTACTTATTTGTAAATATTTTTCAGTGTTTCTTTTTTTTGGATCTTTTTCCACATTCGGTGCAAAGCTTTGCCTGGTCAATGAGAGATATTCTGATATCTTAATTTTTAAGCATAATCTTTAAAACCACACTATTTCTTATTTTTTTTAAAAAATATTATAAATATATATCTAAATCTTAAAATTTGTGCAACATTAGAAGAAAACTATTAGTATGGTACAAAAAATGCAACGAAATGAAAGTCAGATTATTTCTTCTTATAAAAAGATTTTATTTTATTATGAAGATTTAAGTTAGTCTCTCTTCGTATATAAGCTTATCTACAGTTATTCTGCATTTGCCTAAATTATGTATTAATATAAAAGTTTTTTTATGTACCAAAATTAGTTAAAAATAAATGAAATTAAGCTAGTTTAAATTAACGTATTACTATAAAACAGTTTATGTACTAAAACTAATTATTAGTAGTTTCAAAAACATACTTCTATGACATTTTTAATAATACAATTCAATCAAGAATTTTATTTAACTAATTATAAACCAAAGTTTTCAAATAAAAAACTTGATTTATTATTATTTTTTTAAAGAAAGAGTTTAACTGACGATCGAAATAACTACACATTCTACTACTTATTGAATGTTCCTGAAAAGTGTGTTTTTCGTTTTTTATTCTATTGTTTTTTTAATTTAAACTAGAGAGTAGTAATAGAGTAGTTATTCTCATTTAATAGAGTAGTTATTCGAATGTACACTCATGTACAATAATTTAATTTTCACTATTGAGCAACATTAATGTTGGAAATTAATAACACAATGCATTGGTTTTCAAGGAATCAGCTCAGGGTGTCCAGTGAGAAGACATTTTCAAATTCCCTGACTTCTACCTGTAAGTTCAAGATTTTCCCTGCATCGTACAGATGATTTTTAATATTTAACTAGGAGGCTTCGCCCCCTGCTCGCTAGCGCTCGCCAACCCCCGCAACTGCTTTCGCAGTTCATTTTGGATTGCTTCGCAATTCGATGCTCGCTTTGCTCGCTCATTGGATACGTTCTTAACGTCTAGCTTTTGTATAATTTTTTGAACACTGAAGTTCCGAAAACTTTTCCCTGTAGAAAATTCTAAACCTGTGCATTTCAATATTAATTTGAAATTGCAAGCAGTTCACATATTTTTCTTAATCACACTATTCTAAATTTCAGTTGTTGAGAAAAGTAACTGTTGTAAGTTTTGTTTTAAAGTCTTTCACACCAGAGGGCTAAAACCATGTGTTGTAAAACAATATGAAATAGTACTGAATGCCGGATGTAAAGCATCGGCTTCGCTGAAGATAATTTTGTGAGAATTTTTTTGATAATTCGGTGAGAATTCACCCGATTAGACATATGATGCTCACTACGTGCTCCTGCGCGTCGAAGCCTATCAATTAAAACATATTAGCGTTTTATATAATATAGATTAGCCAAATGATGCTCACTACATGCTCTTGCGCGCCGAAGCCTATCAATTAAAAATGAAAACTGTTGCCAATGCAAAAAAAGAAATATCATCGGTTTTATTGATACATACATACGTATTAGCGTTTTATATAATATAGATTTTATTAAATAAAAGAATACATTATCATTTAAAACAAATAATGAATCAGAGGAAAATCAAATAATAATACTGATGGACAGATTAATATTTTAAAATGTGTATTTGAAAGTAAGATAGGTTTTATTCTAGACCTTAAAGGGTAGGGAGAAGATATAAACAGAAAAGGGCATTATACTCTCCTACAAGAAAAAGAATATTGATCACAAAAAGGTGCATTGCATTTTGCAAAACTTTGTGTCACTTTTAAAAGATCCAAAATATACAAAGTTCTTAATTTTATTATTAAAAAATAATCCTATTTTTTGAAGAGATAGTTTAACTTAAAATAATTCTGTTCTATAAACCAGTTTTAAAATTAGTTTAATTCTCATGTTTTGAAAATGTTGCTTGTTATAATAATAATGTATTAAAAATATCAGGATTTTAAAAACCACGTCACAACAGCTGTAGAAACGATAAGCAACTATAATAGCTGAGGAAACAAAGATTGGAATCTAGTGTGAATCTGAGCTGGAATCTTCGCGAATCAAGTGTCAAGATAATGATTACTTAAATACGAAATTCGGAAACTACAACAGCATATTAAAAGTATCAGAATTGAAAAAAAGGTCACACAAAAATAGCCAGAAAAGAATCAAATGTCTATCCAAAAAAAAAAAAAAAAGATCTATAAACGACATAGATTAACAATATAATATTTGCTAACTGCACGTAACAAATGTGACTCAAATTTGAAATGCATGCTAGTCCTAATATTGTATAGAGAACATCAAATTTAGAAAAAACAGGCAGAAATTACTGAAAAACAATAGGGAAAAGACATGGGATTATGGAGGAATTGAACACGTAAAAAAGTGAAAAATCAAATTCAATTCCATGTCATAGTAATGCATTAAAAAAAACAGAGCTCAAAAAACCATGTAAAAAAGGCCCCAAAAATATGCTAATGATAACTAAAAAAGGACACATTCAACCATGTGAAGTTTTGATAAAATCTTCAGGAATCGAACCTGTCAAGAAGATTGATCATGAGATTTTCCCGCTGTCACAACATCCTATTGAAAATATCGGAACTTTAAAAAAAAAACAATGCTACAAAAATGGTAAATAACTAGTAAAAGAACTCAAACCATGTGAATTTTTGATATAGTCACAAATCGAACATTACAAAAAGTGATTACTCAAATTTGAAATCCTCATTTCATAATAATACAGTGTTTAAACTGTCATAATTTTAAAAGCTATGTGAAAAGATTAGAAAAAAAATTGTGATAAACTGCAGAAAATCTATCATATGAATGACCATGTGAAATTATGAAGAAATCGTCAAAATGTGATAAATCAAATTTGAAAATGCAAGTCTTAAAAACATTGTATAAAAAAAATTGGAATTTGAAAAACCATGTGAAAGGGGCTGAAAATGATAAATAATTTCCAAATAAACATCAGAAAAACGGAATTTGAAAGCATATTTAAATGACCGAAAACGATAAATTACTTCTGAAAAAACGATTGGAAACTTCAGGTCCACGAGGAAGAAATAGAGGAGAAAACTTGCTTAGTGAAGCACGAATTGTTTTAAAAATTTTCTGATTTACTAAAATTTTTGAGAAATCCCCGGAAATTTCCAAAATTAGTAAGTTCCCTGACAAGTCCCGGTTTTCCTTATTGCTGGACACCTTGAAGCTAAATAATAAACTGAATTAAAAAATACATATTCACGCCTTGGAGTGAACAAAGTCAGGTTACCAAAGTATGCATATCTGATGGCTACACTTTAAAAAAATTTTTACTATTTTTATCACGCAATTTTTTTTGTAGATAAACAAAAAAAAATTTAAAAAATATGCCACCAGCACATTTTTGATAATCCTTATTCATGAAACTACTACTGTAAATATTCTAAATATTTTTTGAAAAATTGGATTAGCAAATTTTTTTTAACATTTATTTTTCTTACATAAATTTTAACATACTTTCCTATTAGTTAACTCAAGACTCGTGACTATATAGTCGGTGAAATTCTCTACTTTCTTGTTGAACACCACAAACTCTCCATATTCTTGCAATGAATTTTCTTCAGCTGGCCAGTACTGACCACACTTTACTTTTCCTCTTTCAATAGTTTTGGTAGTCATAACAATTACATGACTCTCTTGATCCCAGATCATGCGCCAATAATCCGCAAATGTTTTTGGAAGAGGGCCTAAAAGGAAATTATTTTAAAAAAATTACTTTCAAAACAATAACTCTTACAAAAATTTCGTATCAGAATATTTATAAATGTAAATAGTATTTATAATGAGCTTGAATTCTAAGTTCAACATCATTATTGATTTACAGCATGGTTATTTTTCTGGCACTGAACACCAGTTTTTCTTTACTGTTTTTCAATTAAGAAAATATGATTGACAGGAAAAGTTTTGTTTAAATTGCCCCTGCCAATAAACATAACTAATTTTTATAAAATCTAAGAATATTAAAATAACCTTGCAGCAGATTTTACCTAATAAATGACTAATTAATATTTTTCAATTAAATCAATAAGCAGAGCACTTACAATATTTACTATATTTATTTTTACAATATTACAATATTTACAATATTTATTTTTTTATATCTATAAAATTGCTTAAAATTTTAAAATTGCTTAAAATTTTAAAATTAAATTATTAATGGCTATTGAAAGATTTAAAAAAAATTTTAAATATATTATAAACATTGAGTTTTATGCTTCAATCTCCACAAGCTGTCTTTAAACATAATTGAACAGCTAAGTGAAAGAACACACTGAAAAATATTTAATAAATTAAACAGCTAATGGCAAATAAACTTACAGTCAAGATGAAATTGCTTTCATACAAGGAACTTTAGTGTTTTCAGAATGCTACTAATTATCACGATTTTTTACTAAGCTCTTCAAAAATTAACAATATACACTTAAAAATCAAGCTTTACTACTTTGAAAAAAAAGGAAACTATTAAAATTTCAAATTTCAGCTATTTCGGTTCAAAAGATAGAAAAAAATTAAACAAATCAGAATATTGCATGCAATTCATTTGTATACAATATGATTTTGATGACTTCATCTTGGAGTAATCATAATCAATATTATTCAAATAAACTAGGAGGCTCAGCTCACTTCTCACCAGCGCACGTTATTATTTCGCATTTATTGCTTTTTTAAAATGGGTATTTTTCCAAAAAAGTAAAGAACAGTTTGTTGAAAAAATAATTTTACTCATTAAAGAAGTAGAATATTAACTATAATGACAAAAATAAGTCGTGGTTGGAGTTGTATGGTATAATTAAAGAATGTGATGAAAAACAGGATAATGAAAATAATAGTTGAAGATGAAAATTGAATCATAACTATAATGAAACTTTAGTATTTGCAGATGTTGAGATACAAAATTATATTTTATCCATAATAAGACTTTCCAAGAGAAATAAATTTTGCATAATAATATTAATAAAAACAGGCCATGGGAGATAAATCCCCCATGACCGGTCTAATCAAGAGCCAAATTAAAAAGTGATTGAATTGTTCCCAACAGATAATTAGGAGCATGGGCATAGATCTATGGTAGGTGATTTAATGAAAGATAACAAATCCAAAAATAAAGCCAACATCCTATAATCAATATTAAATTTGAAAATAATTTGGCAAAAGCGAATCACCAAAAAGAATGTGAGAATTAGTATAACCATGTAACTGAAAAATTTTTGTGGTGAGAAAAAAAAGTTATAAATCGACAGTGAATTAATGAGTCTTACATTAGCATTGAAATAAAAAGTTAGCCATTGCATTGATTGTTATAAAAAGAACAAAATATTTTACATACGCTTTTTATAAAATGCAATAAAAATTAAATAATTGGTTTAAATTAATTAAAATTTGATTAAGAAGGATTAAAAAAGATAAGTGTAAGAAATTAAAGAAATTATAAAGGCTAGGAAATATGTAATACCTATTGTGGCATCACACCAACCTTATGTCATTGTGTCAACAATTTAAATCGAAATAAGTTTCTATCTCTCTATTGAATTCTTGAATTAAGTTTTTTATATTTTTAAAAATTTCAATATAAAGTTTAAGATATATTTGGAAACATCAATCTTTTCTAATTTATTTTTTTGTTACTTTCAACGTCAATTCTAGCATGAACGCATTAAAAAAAAAATCTACAAAGAGATAAATAAAATTCTTTACTACAAAATACCTAGTCACCATCTTAAATTGCAATAACTTTCAAACATATAAAAATTTCAAAAAAAAAAAAAAAAAAAAAAAAAAAAAAAAAAAAAAAAAAAAAAANAATTAAAAATGGCCCTTTCAGTATACCAAACTTCATCTCTTTAGTTGCAACATTTTTTTTAAAATACAAGTTTGATAGCTTATAATTTTCAAACTAACTATCGTGCTATATTTTTTTTTTAATTCTGTGATACACCCTGCATACTTTTCTACACATCTTAATAATTTCAAGTTTTTAAGAATTGCAAAACAAAATGTATCAAAAAGTTCTATATCAGAAACAGTGGTGCTTTTGACTTTTTAATATAGAGAGATTGCAACAGGCAGCTGCTTCAACTCACAGAATATAATACATTTTTGTCTTAAAAAAAGAATTGAAAAAGAAATGATTTTAAGAATTAAGAGAAATGATTTTACTTATTAAATAATGACAATAAAAACAAGGAAATTCAAGCACTTTTAGAAATAATTGTAATAGCTAGCAGTTAATTTGTGACATTATAAAGTAAAAAACTTTTTTCATTTTGGATAGAATAATTTAAAGTTTAGGAGTATTTCATAAACACATTAATTCTAACAACTGGTAACAAAACAATTAAATTACCCTGACATGAGATAAAGGCATTCTTTTGTTTATAACCATCAACAAAATTTGCATTGATATAATCTGAATTGGGATCATCGTCCATAATAGGAAGCTTTACTCTACTATGATCATAACAGAGGACATCTGTGTATCGGTTTTTGGGCTGGTTTGCTTTTAACCTGAAAAGAAACAGAAAGAAAAAAAAATCATGCATTTTTTGCATACAAATTAAGTGAATTTTGATTTAAATTTTTAATAGCTTTTAATTTTTAGTTATTTTATAATAAATTTACTCAAAAATAATGTAAAATTGGAAAGGATACAATCAATAAACAAAAATTTTTAAGTTACATAAATCTTAGCAAACAAAACGGAAATTATTTTATTTACCCTTCCCTTTATAATACAGAATTTGTATTACTTAATTGTGAGTTAATATTTAAATAAACAATAAAACTAAATTTGGTATGCTCAGAAATAGATTTAGCATAGTCTTTCTGCATTAAATGAACAATCTTCATGGTCATTGAAGATAGGGCTCTATAATTTTGCAACCAATATCACGATGGTGGCAATAGCTGAAATATATCTATTGATATAATTTTGTTTAGAATTCCTAACAAGGTTTTCATGTAATTTATTTAATATGAAAAAGTCTAGACTCAATTATTATTCTTTTTCAAAGTAAACAATTGGAATAAAGTAAACAATTGGAATTGGAATAATAACATGATTTAAGGTAAAGTTACGCTCTTGCTTATGGATAGAGTAGTTTTAGAATAGTTAATAGAATAGTTCAGAAAACCTTTAAATGCAAAAAATATTTGTTGCATTTAAAGGTTTTCTAAAATAAATAATTTTCAGAAGTGGGATCGATGTCTTTTTTCAAACAACAAATTCAAAAAAGAATTTTATTATACATAAATCCTTTACTTCCTAAAATACAGAGATCACTTACTTTGATGTTTCAAATGTTCCATCAGGTGGAGCAGCCTTGAATTCTGCATATTCATGATATAGTCCTTTTCTACCTTTAGTACGGAGGTATTCTATGAACTCCTCCAGAGTTCTTCCTCCCCCAGTGTCTGATTGAGCAGAATCTTCCCAAATGGAAAGAGAGGCAGAGCTACTGGACAAATGCTTTTCATTGTCATCTTCCTCAGTGAAATCTGTCACAACAGATTCAGGTGTCAAGGGGCATGGCTCATCTGAATCTTTCTGAAAAAGAAAAAAAAAAGACTTATTAAAATTCTATTGTTGTCAGAAAATTTATAAATATGCACTGTGTAATAAAAAATATTCTTAAAAATATTAAGCAAACTTTTGAAGAAAGTATCTTTTCTGCAGAGTAAAAAAAAAAAATTGATTAGTAAAACCAATTACAGGGATTGTTAAAGTCTTTCAGCTTTAAAAAAAAAAAAAAAAAAAAAAAAAAAAAAAAAAAAAAAAAAAAAAAATTAATTNTGATCAGTAAAACCAATTACAGGGAGTTAACCAATTATAGTCTTTCAGCTTCAAAAAAAAAAAAAGAAAAAAAAAGCTATAATAAAATAAAGAATTCTTAGCAATACCAGGGGTCTGTCCAGGCCGAATTTACTACCCTTTAGCTGTACCTCCACAAATTCAACTTCAGGAAAAACGGTAGTTTCACAAACTCAACTTTAGAAAAAACGGTAGTTTCACAAAATACTTTTTCGTAAAATTTTATTTTCGTATCCCTTAAGAAACGATAAATCCATATTTTGACCAAAATTTTTGTGTTGATTTATTTAATATAATTTTTAATCTTTCACAAATTATGTCCAAATTTTCACAAAATAGGTACCTCTCAGAAAAACCTAGACAGATCCCTGAATACACATCATAATAAATTGAAAAACATAACAAATTGAATCATATTTACAACATGTAAAAATTTAAGAAAAAAAATTCTTACTAAAAAATAAATTTAAAAAAAAGAGTTAAAAAGTGGTTAAAGTAATTTTTTTTAAAATGAAACATACATTAAAAATTTCCTTTTTATTTTGAACAGTGAAAATTTACCTTGAAAAGTTTAAATTTGACAATCCAAAAAACAAAAAAATTTCAATATTTAACATTAACAAAATACTAATAATAAATTAAGAAACAGAATACATTTTGAAAAAAAAAAAAGAAAAGGAAACTAAAAATCACTAAAACACTTACAATTGCATCTTGAAGTAAATTCTCCTTTAAGTATTCTACCTCTTTTTCTCTTTCTTCAGAATTGTGTTTCTCATGAATGGAATTTTGATGGTCACTACTCGTCTCATCAATATCCATCTCGAGGTCATTAAAAGTTTGGAGTTGGAAAGCACTCAAATCAGTGATATTGCCATTAAAAGAAGTCCCATTCAAAATGGGACTAGGACTCAATGGTGTGTTAGATGTTTCTTCTGACTTACGATTAAGGGTAGATTTTAAGCAATGTTGCAGCCACAGTTTGTGGTCAACATGGAAAGAACCTCCCAAATCCAAAGGTAACGAAGCAATTGGAACATGTAGGCATAGTTGTGGGACACTTATCATAAACACCTGCAATGATTCAAGTTTAAAAGTGTGTTAAATTTGACAGAGAACTGATTTTTTGTAAGCTATATGGATGCATAATTTTTCAATTTTATTTTGAGGAATCAAAATATAATTATTCCATAATTTTTTTTTATTGGTAATAGAAAATGCCACATATATGTAATAGAAATTGCTAAATGTAATAAAATATGTAATAGAAACTGCTAAATATGAATTAAGATAAAACAATGCATAGGATTTGGTGATAGAATGTGGTGATGGTACTTACAGGACAGTAGAGAGATCTCTATTTTATAAGTACGTTCTGATAATCTTAATCAAGTAATACCTTTATTAACATTGAGGGTAAAGTATTATAGGCAGACATTTATAAAGCACCTGCTTTGAAAAAACTTATGTTTCAACATAGTTTAAGAGATGTCTAGTTCTAAGATCTACTGCTCAGTTATTGAATTTCAAGTTTATAACTAGATAATCTAATCACAAATCACTCAATGTTTTTTTGATTTTGAGTATTTTACATTTACAGTTGTATTGTAATACTTCCCCCAAGATAATGTTAATACAATTTTTCAATGATCTTAACGAAATAGTGCAAAAGTAAGAACTACTATTTTGTCAGTTTGACTATTAAAATAAAGGTACAGCACAAAACTATCCAAGTAGATAAAGTAAATTTTTGCTTTATTTATGACAAAATTAAATACTAAAGAGTTCATTACATACTTTATCTGAAAGATAAAAGGATCTGTCAGTTTAAGGTTGTTAAAGGTAATTAAAGAATTAAATATTTTTTTAAAGTGAAATAACTCAAATTTTACTGTACTACTACAATTCACAATATACAGCTATACTAACTGTATTATCAAGCTAATGTTTATTTAAAGAAAATAATAATTAACTTAACAAGTTATCAAAGTTGTTTTTTCATCAAATCAAAGAAAGGCACTTTGACCTTTACTGATCATCATTGCTATATAAATTTAAAAACTAATTTATGACGCAATTTGTAAAGAACTTATCCTCTTTGTCATAATTTAATTTATAAAACTGAAGGATTGCAGGATGGTTTGTTTTAGTGCCCTTGTCATAAAACATGAAATCTTGGTACTTTTCCATTTTACCAGAGCAAATAATTTTGGCTATTTAGTCTACTTATTTTTTTTTTTTTTTTTAAAAAGTTGAATTCACTTGCACTTAGTAAGTTTGCATTATCGACTTTATTGTTTGCAATGGCAAACAGAAAAAGTACCAAAATATTTATAAACTAAATTTCTAATCAAAATGTATAGTCTAATATGAAGTAAGTGAAAATAGAATTCAGTCGCAGATAGTTAAAATAAGCATTAACAAGCAGATGGTTAGTATTTATTACATTTTATTGAAATTGCTAATTACATATAATTTCTAACATCAGCTAACTTAAATGTTATGTAACCCCTAACTGCAAAAAAAGCAAGCTCAATAATTACTTTAAACTTCATTTGCTTTCTTCACTTAGCATTAAATTTTGTCACATTATTTAACAAGTGGGTGTTAGTAAATAATTTCAGTTAAAAATTATAATTTTAAAGCTTACATTTCCAAAATTATTTTCACTGAAAGTCTTCTTATATATTTTCATTTCCCTTTTAAAATGCCCTGAACCTTAAAAGTTAACATGAGTTGGCTATAAGAACACATATGCTTTTCAATAGTATTCTTAAAAATTAAATAACAATTAAATATGAGGGCAAATTAAGATTGTACGACAATATCTATATGCAAATACTTAAATCTTGAAGCTAACTTCCTGTCATCAAAAGAAAGGAGATAAAATACCAAAACACACATTTCATGAATTAGAAAAATATTTTGTACCTTCTGCACAGCTGCTCCTTCAGTTTGCTAAATGAAATATTTTAAGATATTAGATTAAATCAAAATTTCTGTTAAATGAGTTTTTCTAAAACACAACTGCCTATTTCGTGCAAAAGTTCACAAAGGAAGGAGAAAACAGAAAGGGAGCAAATATCCTGGACAAAGTTGAAAATCATAAATGAAAGTTCAAAATTTCCATCAAGTCATTTCAAGAAGCATGCTATGTTTCATATCCATTTCAGGAGAAGGGAACAACCACAAAACTTAAAAATGTAAATCACAATAAATTTTATTGAATATTCCATGCAAAACAGACAAATGGAACAACGTCTATTTACGTCTACCAGGAAAATTATACAAACATTCAGTTTTATATTAATATGAAATTATAATTTTATACATGATGCAAACATTCTTTTTTTGTTTATTAAACTGTATTAAATTATTACAGGAATATACAGGATTTCTTTTAAATTTATTTATGTAACAGATAAACTTGGGATGATTAATCTATTCATTATTAGAGCAACAACAAATAGGACAAGAAGAAAAAAAAAGGATTTTAAAAAATATACAGATAAAATTAATAGATTGATAATATAAGATTTAACTATACAATTTATCAACAGAAGTTTCTTTGTTTAAGGTTTAGAATTTATAAAAATTACCACTTTGGTATCAATGTTAACTAAAAATTATAAATTTTTAAACGAGGAAAAAAAATCACACTGTTACTTAGCAAACTGCAGTAACTTTTTACATAGCAGACGACAATTTCAGTTCATCAAACCATAATGAAAATTAACCTTTTTTAAGATTTATCAACAAAATACTGGTTTATTTCTTTTAGTCGATGTCTTTTTTTTATTTTATTTAGGTTTGCTTAGATTACTTACAGATTTTATTTAATAAAATAACTTAAATATTGTCACATATAAAAAGTTTTGAAATTTTTTTGTTATTAAGTTAGTAAACTATAATAACTGATATGAACTAAATACTATAATATTTTATTTTTGATTAAACATAAAGATAAACAATTCATTTTTTTTTTACATAAGGTTTTGAGAAATGAGTAAATAACTAATATATAAAAATTGGAAAGTTGTAAAAAGGGATCACATTTTTATAACTGATTATTTAAAAGATTTATTACTTGCATATTGATTAAAAATTGTAGTGATCATGTAAAATCAGCCATGTGCCAAATCTGTTGATTTTTTATAAAATATTTGTATTGTACTTGTAAATATGAAACATATATTTTTTTCTTCCAAAGAAATATTTGTCGCATGCATTGAACAGCAAATCACTTTTTTTTACACAGTATTTCAATTTCGTCAATTCTTGCCCTTTCCTATAGACACTAGGCTAGAAATTTTAAACACATGCTGTAAAAATAAAAAGCCTAACTTCGAAAGGTCATAAAGGTAATCAATTGAAAGGTCTATTTCTTATCTTTGCAGAGGTATTTGAAATTTTTTCTGCTACAATTAGGAAAAGGTTGCAACCATTTATACATATATGCAAGTTTTTCATTCTCTATGAAACGTTCAGTTATTTAAATGTCTATAAATAGGACTGTTTTCAAATCAAAATACTAAAAATTGGTACAATTACTTAGTTTATCAAGAGTGACCAATACACAAAATGTCAATAAAATCTAGGAGATTGTGGAGACAGTCCAAAAGTGATAGCTCAAATGCGGTTAACTCATTTATCGAATTAATTTTACAAAGCACTTAGTGTTTTATCCCATTTCAAAATAACAATTATTAATGAAATATGGCACATCAAGGAATTTGTAGATTACAAGACATTTTACAGCAAAACAAAATTGTGCAAAAATTCCAAGTTAATTTCAAACCATTTTTTATAAAAATTGGAATGCAGATTTTTCCTAGACTTTAACACTAAGAGACAAGAGAACACCCTCAAGAAACCCTTGAACGAAAGGTTGTGGACAGAGGCAACACTCAAAAGATTTCACTCAAAGATAATTACAAGACAAACATATAGTCAATATGACATTAATCTTTATATAATTTTCATGATTAAACAAGCGATTCTTTTTTTTTTTAATATTAATTCATAATACAAATAGAATGTGAGTCATTGTGCACAGTATTTTAAAATTTGTTAGAAATTTTTATTTTCTTAAAATTACAGCAATACTATCATGTAAAATACATTATTTAAAGAGTGAGAGGTTTTATATTATTAAAAAATTTTAGGTTTTTGAAAAATTTTATTACTGCATTGTATATGATAAAAAAATTTCTAAGCATTAGTTTAAACAAAAATAAAAAAATTTAAATATATAAGTGACAAACATATAGTCATGAATTATAATAATCTTTACAAAATTATCGGTTACATAGATTTTTTGCTTTAAATGTTTGATAAAAATTTAATGGTATTTAAGTTATGTGTTATTTCGCAACCTTTATAAAGCAAAGCTTTTATTATTTATTCCTCATCAGAGAGTCTGTGCCATAGAATGATACTCAAGTTTTTTAAAGAACAAAACATAAAAAAATTAACCTGAAATCCAAAATTAAGTACACACAATCCTACGTCTAAATTACGAAAACAAAGTTTTCAATACTTACTCTATCTCTTAATTTTTCTCTTAAAAATAGTTGGAAAATTCGGAATGGTGCTTTGAACCACAATGGAGCAGCAACTATAAGAACCTTTTTCAGACGAGCAGGATAACCACCCTGGATTGTGAATTCGAAATATAAATAAATAAAAAACAGAATAGTCTAACACAAATTTGAATGAAAACGCAGAATGTGGTAGATATCAATATTTAAATATAACACAGCCAAATTTTGTAATGTGAATAACTTTAAAATTTCTATTTAATTAATTTCTATGAAATCACACATAATTTAATGCTTTCCTTAAACATATATTTTTTAAAATAATTTTCTTGGAAAAAAGCTCTAAAGCACTGTAATCAAATAAAAGATATAGAATAAAACCGAAAGTAAAATGTAGAAAACTTATGCTCAAAAAGGAGCTAGATTTTATTTTTTACCTAAGTTGTTAAATCAGGTCTTGAACAGATCTTACGGAAGCGACATGAAAAAGTGAGGAATATTTGTTAAGAATTACAAACGAAAAATGAAGAAGTACAAACGAAAAATGAAGAAGTAATTTTCCCCCTTTATTAAAAAAAGTTTACTATTACAAGACATATTTTAAATAGATGCCACATTTTATATGTAACCTAGATTCTGCCTTACATTAGTTATTCTGCCCAACCTTAGCTCTCTTATTATTTGAAATTGTGAGCATTACAATAGTTCATTGAAGAAAAAATTTTTTTTAAAATAATAAAGACTATTATTTTTCATGGCATATAACAATAATAATGTTTATTTACATTATTATTTTATTAACGTTCAAAATTTAAAGCAGAGAAGAAATGTATATATAAACAGACCTACCAACTTCTATCTCTTTTAGCAACAAAGATTTCTCAAATGTAAAAAGCTGTAGCTGTAGTAACTTTACATTAAATTTGATACAAGTTTAAACATCTTGATATTTAAATTACCCAAAAAATTTATAGTGAAGCCCTGATAAATATGTAATGTTATTAAGAGCTTCTGAACGATTTAAAAAAAATTGATAATGTAATTGTTATTTCATTACAGTGTGGAAAGTTAGTAGTTCAATATTGCACAAATTGCTTTAATAAATATAAGAAACTTAAAAAATATTAAGCCTGAATAAATAAAAATAGTATAACAGCAATAAAAATGACTTAAATAAAAATGATTAAATAAAATGAAGCTTCATAGCTTTGAAACCATAGCCAATGAAACACCATAGCTTAACTAAATTATGTTCGAATTAATATAAAAATCGTAGGGAAAAAAACCCCATCTAAACTTACCTTCAGTAAATTTAAAATCTTTTGGCTCAACTCATAATCAAAATTAGCATACCTTGATCCTGTCATATTGTAAATAAATACAATTCCACGTCTCTGAGTTTCTATGCTGTAATATGAAAATTTTACATTAGGAAACAGCCAACAGGTATGTTCCAACTATATATCAATTTTTAGAATTGAATGTGAATAAAATATTAGTTTTAATACCTCTCTAAAGCACAATCTAGTTGGTATATAACACCTTGTAGAGTGATCTGATGAGATGTTTCCATTGGCACATGCTTGCTGGCAGTAAATATAGCTATAGCAGCACCACTGTTGTCTCTAACAGGCTAAGTAACATATATTCAAGTAAACATATGATTTTTAAATATAATCTAATTATCACTGAATAATATTTTTTTAAAAAAAAGGTTTCCTTCTATTTATGACATTAAATAATACTTAAGATTTTAAAAATATGAAGAAAATAAAAACAAAAAAAGGCTAAATTTTTCAATATACAGTAGAGAACCGATTATCCGGAACGATCGGGACCATCGCGATTCCGGATAACTGATTTTTTCGGTTTTCTGGTTCGGTACAAAACGGCTTTTTTTTTTATTGTTTATCAAACTTAACTTTAAAAATATTATTTAGAAATAGTTTTAAAAAGAAGAAAAAATGATGAAGTCATGCATAATACATAAGTTTAATAAGATAAAGAGGAGAAAAAAATGAAATTAAAAACATATACAGAAATATATACTTTCTTCCCTTTCTTTTCTCATCCAGAAATGGGGTGAAAATTTATGGAATTTCGTTCCGGTTTTCAGGATAAGAAGTTCTGTACTGTATTACGAAATATAAGCTTCAAAAATTCATATAATACTATATTATGTTTACGAAATATTTCATAACACACAAATTAATCGCTAAGACAAAATCTTATATCAAGCCTTTATTTCAATACAATAACATTAAATGTTAAAAAAATTTTTGACCTTTAAATGAGTGATACAGACCAGTATTGTAAATTTTCCAGTTTCCAGCTCACTTCTTAACGTATCACTGGTAGGATCAAATCTAATTAACCCTTCACGTCTTCGCATCACCTGTCATAGAAACAAAATTATGAATCAAATCATAGATAGTATGTGTATCAATAATATAAATATATAAACAATGACGTTTGTATTAAAGATGGGAAAGTACCAGTTACAAACTGACAAAACTAAATATAGTTACAAAAACATTATACTTTAAATATTAGATACACATCAATCTTAAAACAAAAGTCAGGGTAAGTAAATATTAACTAATTGCATTTATTGGAGCTGAAAGTTTATATAGAATTTATAAGGTTATTTTGAATTTTAGGTCCCTTGAATTGCAAACTTAAAAATAATTTTGGTCGTAAAATAAAGCAAAAGGTGATTCAAATCAAATACAAATATTTTATTTTTTTTATAAAAAAACACAATTATAATATGAACATAATTATTAATTAATTATTATGAAATAATTAAACATAATTATTACATAAGTCTGAAAATGTGAATCAGCTGTAGTTTTTTATTATTATTATTATTTAAGTAGTAACTAACAAAATAAAATATTCAATTAAAGTGAAATAAAATTTGATTAAACTACTATTCCTGTTTGGAATATACAAAATACCCTAAATAATAAAGTGTTAAAATTAATTATTACCCATAACATTTTATAAATCATTTTAATCAAATTGTAAAGACTACTTATTTTTATTAAAATTTAACACATTTTACATGGGAACATTTCGAAGAGTCAATAATAAAGCAATATATTTGCTGACAAATCAAAATTTTTTCATAAATATATACTCTTGTTGAACATTAAATTCTGTTTGATGTTAATAACTAACAAAGAAATAATATAAAAACATTTTAAAATAAAACATATCAAAATATATATCGTAAAATTTACTATTACTACTCATTTACTAGTGTATTATTAACTAAGCAAAACAATAAAAAATAAGGGAGATTAATTATTTAAATATGTCACATAAAATTTAACTAAATAATGTAAGAAAAGTAGTAAAATTCTCTATGGCAAGGCAGGAAGAATGTGACAGCTTCAAATATCTGAGAACTGAGACTGATCCAAAGCAAACTGCTACAGACAAGCATACAGAGATTAAAGTCACCAGCTACAAAATAGAGCTAATTTAGAATTAATTCAAAGGAATTGGAAAAGGACAGTAACTTCATGGAGATACGCCGAGGCGTTTATGATTTGAAACATTAAATTTTAATATGTGCGGCATATCTAATGAGATGGTCTGTTTGTTTTTGTTTTTTTCTTTAACTACTTGAGTTTTGAAATTACAATCAATAATACTTTAAAGAATTCACAATGCAGGGGAAAAATAGTTTACAAGAATGTAACAAAAGCACAACACACGCTCTTCCTTTCAACAAAAGAAGACATTACTGAATTCCCCTCTCACAATGACCTCGCGAATAGTTCCTTACGAGGATGGACGGAAGTACAATTTCCCCTCCTCCTTTCTTCTGCTGCAGGTGTGAAGAAAAAAAAAAGAAAGAAAATTATGCAAGTTATTTTCTAATATAAATGAGTGAGGCGAAATGCTTAAATTATCTATCTTGAAGGCCAAGTTCATCCCCACTTTTAGCTGAAGGTCAACTTTATTATTTTTATTATATATATCTGAGACTCGGAAATACTTGTGTTGCATTTGAATTGCAAACAATTGTACACAGAACAATTTTGTGTTCTTTTGAAAAGCTATTGAAATGCATAATATTCTAATCCTATATTCTAGGGTGGCGCATCTCATGAAATTACAATATTTACAGTTCTTCTTTCAGTTAGTACTACTATAAAAAAGATACTAGGTACAGCAGCAAATAGATAATGCACTGATTAGGCTATATCAGTTAATTAAATTTGACTTTCTTTTAAAACTAATTTTATAATTTTAAAAATAATTTATATAAATCAAACTTGCTAATTTAATGATGTATTCATTGAAAGTATTTGATCTTTTATGTATTAAGTACAAAATATCAAATACATTGATACAAATATTACCTTATATCTCAGATGGTTTGATAAAAAAAAGTTTTAACAGATTAAAACTGCTTCAAAATGGGTTAGCATTTAAAAAGTGTGTATATTAAAATAAAAATATACATTCCATCACAAATTATAAATGAAAAAAAGCTCAGCATCATTACCTCATGTGATTCAAATAAAGCCACAGCACGACAAATATCAAATTTCCTGGCCATCATAAACTTGATAGCAGTGGATTTATTCCAAGTCTTTTTATCCCCATTGCTATGTAAATGTAACTCTTTAATAATGGCAATGAACTCTTTTACAGCCTAAAAAACAAAAGTTAAGGTAATTCAACCATGGCGATATAAGAACGAACAAACTTTACAAAACATGATTTACATAACATAAAATATGAAATTAAACTAAACCTCTAAGCAGATCTTAATGAGAACTTGTTAGTTAAAAAAGTATTTTTTCAAGCATACGCATTAATTTGAAAAATACTTCAAATTAATTATTCGAATTGGAATATAAAGAAAAACTACTAACCGTTTCTTCAGCTTCAGTCAATATGTCTTCCATTTTTCAAAATGTTTCACTCCTAAAAAATTAAAACTCCAAAAATTGAACATTTTAGTCTTAAACTTTTTTTCAATTACTACAAAAATAGAATTACTAAGAATTAAAAACATTAGAGAAATGAAAAAAATCAGAATTAACTTCAAAATAAGACTATTATCAACCATAAAACAAAAAGTCATGCACTGTTTATGTCTAACTTCTGGGTCCAAATATAAACTGAATAAAAATTTGCATGCCTTATTGCAATATTAGTGAAGTTTCTCAGTAAAAGTGTGAGAAAGAAAATCTGATGCCAACTTGAAAAGGAATTTAACAGTTAATAACTAAAATTTATAGTTTACATTTTAAATGCAAACTAAATTAGATTAGCTTTTAAAATGGAAGTATGATCCAGATTAACACTTGTATGTATGTGAAAATATTCCACAATACAAGTTTTTATAATAGAAAGAAAAATTAAGAATTATTTAAATTTGAATAATTTAGACTGAAAGGAATAATTTAGACTGAAAGGTATCATTTACTACACAGAATATAATATTTGCTGTATGCTATTCTACCAGTTTTTAAATATTTAAAACAAAAAATGATGATACAGTAGGGAACCGATTATCCGGAACGATCGGGACCATCGCTATTCCGGATAACTGACTTTTCCGGTTTTCTGAATCGCTACAAAAAGCCGTTTTTTTTATTGTTAAACCCAACTAAAAAAAATGTTTTGGAAATAATCTTAAAAAGAAGAAAAAACGATGAAGTAATACACTAATGATTATTTCCAAAATGATGGTAAGGTAAACATCTTACAAAAAAGAAAGAAAAATCCTAAAATCTTATGAGGAAAAAAA